CATCCAATCGAGTGACTTTGGCATGAAAGTTGATGAATGGTTGTGAAGATGACTCTCCTCTTTCATAGACTTGACTAAGAATATCCCATGCATCTTTGGTCTTTGTGCAGTGAGTAATCCATTGTTGTTCTTCAGAAATTGCTTCACGGATGGTATTCAAAACTCTTTGATTATTCAGATTGTCAACGCTTTCAACATCCTTTTCAATTGCTCACCAACCTTCAGGGTCATCGGCTCTAAGATACACCATCGGATTGTCAGCACTTTCAACATCCTCTTCAATTGCTTGCTAACCTTCAAGGTCAACAGCTCTAAGATACACCCCCATTATGATCTTCCAGTACAAGTAATTACTCCCATCAAAGGTAGGAGCACGATGTAGACTCTGACCACGAGCAAACTTAACTGGCTTTGGAGGTGGTTAAGTGAAAGTAGAGTAGAATGCCATGTAGGTACTATCTCCGTCTTCACCGGATTCAGTTTTTTCGAGTTCTTTCTTTGACTCGCTTTCATCATCCCAAGTCACTGTACAGACTTTCTTTTGGTTCTTTCGCGATGGACATTCAAGAGCTCCATATCCAAACCCTTGACATTCATAACACTTGACACCTTACCGTTTCACAGTTTTCTTCTCAGTTTTTGGAGCAACTTTTGGTGGAAATGTTTTGGATTTTTTGTTCCCTTATCTTTTGAACTAGAGTCCTTGAAATTAGATTTATTTTTTTCTTTAAATTTTTTTTGAACTGTTTGGTAAACATAGCCATCATTTTCGACTCTAGATCAAACTCAACCTCAGGATTCTTAGCAATCTCATGAGCACTAGTAAAAGCCATACTATCTTTTTGTTTTTTCTTAGAAATCTGATGGACTTCAAAAGTCTGCACGTTTCCAACCAACTGATCAAGCTTGATGTTCTCAACATCCCAAGCCTCCTTAATAGCTGTCACTTTTGATTGGAACCTCTTAGGTAATGACCTCAAAATTTTTCCAACAACCTTAGATTTAGGGATTTTTTTCACCGAGTGTGAAATAGGAATTTACGATGTCACTAAGTTTAGCATAAAAATCATCAAACGTCTCATTATCACACATAAAAAGAGTATCAAAAGAGAACGTGAGACGTTGGAGTTTTGATCTTTTAACAGCAGTAGTACCCTCGTGAATAGTTTCAAGAATGTTCTCTTTTGCTACTTCACACGTGTAAATACGACGAAACTCTTCTAGTGTGACAGAGCAAAAAAGGGAATTGAGAACTTTACTATTCCAACTTGAGTTTTGATAATCGATTGCGTCCTATCTATCAAATGGGTTGGGGATATTAACACCATCATTGATGACAATAGGTTCACTCCACCCATAGATCATACAGTGCAAACTTTCTCATCAATAGATTTGAAAAACACCCTCATACGAGCTTTCTAATAAGAATAATTTGTACCATCAAGTAACGGAGGTCTATGGGTAGAGTTACCTTCATGAATTGAATCCATGTCACCAATCACACAAAATCACACTTCTATAGTTTTAATAAAAACAAAGAGTGACTCACTCTGATACCAATTGAAAAACCTAAGTGATTCTTGATTCGGACCAGAATTAATTTCTATAATTCCCAAACAATCAAAACCAACAATCTAAATCATCTAGTATGTACAAAAATGATTTAGATTATTGCTTCAAAATCAATAAATCGACATAACTGATTTTTACGTGGAAAAATCACAATCGGAGCACCTCTAATTGTGATTGAAAAACCACGGACGAAATGCCACTAATCAATCCACTATGAAAGAAAGAAAGAATACAAATTTACCAAACAAATTACCCAAACTCTATTAATTTGTCTTCAACAATTCGTATCTCTTTCACCACTGCATTTGTCTTGGAATTGATCAACTTGATGTCGAATCCACAACATCCATGTCAAATCAACGACCACGCGCAACTTCAAACTCGTTCAAATACGCCACATTTGAATCTCTAGAATCCACCGAAGAGGAATTTCTCTTATATTGATAAAGTCAAACTGACAACCCTTTGATTTAACTCTCTTGATCCATGAATAAACTCACAAAGAAATCAAAGGAAAACTAAGCAAATAACTTCCAGAAAAAACCATAAAACCAAAAAAGAAGATTTGGAAGTCGTACCTTAGATTTGGAACAAACTGTAGATTTATAGAAGTCAGATAGCGATCCCCGCTCGAACGCAGGAATGACCGCTCGAACGGTGTCACTTAAACACGTGTTCCTAACAAGGGTCTACGCTCAAGCGTAAGTTCGCTCGAGCGTAAAAACACAACTCCCAGTACTTTTGTAGACAAGCCAAACTACTGAGAGTGTGAGTTTGTCGCTCGAGCGCAGCTTTCCTCGCTGTAGCGGGAAGACCAAAAAGCGAGGAAAAATTATAACTCGACTAAACCTAGTTTGTTCGCGGAATTGGCAACAAGTAGGGACCTAACAGTGGTGGTGGGTGAGAATGGGCTGATGGGTGGCGGGGTGGTGGACTCAATTAAGTGGGTAGGGGTTCGAAGAAATAAGGTATGGGTAAATAGCAGCACTCTTTTTATAATCTAATTTTTGAAAACTTTTGAAAAAAAGTTTAAAAAATATTTTTTTGAAAATAATTTTTGAAAATTTGAAAATTATCTTTTTGATGTTTATTTTTGCCAATCTAAATTTTATTCAAAAAAAAAAGAAACTTTTTTTTAAAAAAAATTAATTATGAAATTAAAACCAAACAGAAGTGAAGCAATTGAGTTGATTTGTTAGGAATCCACCTTATGTTCTCCTAACTTAAAATAATTACAAAGTGATAGAAGTATAAATAATTTATTCATTATATTGTGAAAATAAATCTTATACTTTCATTACTTTGTAATTATTTTATGTTCTTACCATTTTTCTATAATTGTCCCCCCAATTTTTATTTTTTATTTTTGGCTAATTTATATGAAATGCCTGTCTAATTAGAAAATAGGGGGAAACACTGTTCAGCCAATGCAAGCTAAACTATTGAATAGTGGAAGACTTTTTGAAATTACAAGATAGTTGAGAAGATTAGTTTAATTTACGAAAAGGTAGGAATAATTAGCTTCCAGGCCCCAACTCTAACATTTTCTTTCTCTTACTCTCTTTCCTTGTTTATTCTGTCACAGCTCACTCTCTCCTCTCTTTCTTCTCTTTTTCATTTTATTTTGTTTTCATGTTATTTTAATAAATTAGTACCATATTTAAAATTAGATTAAAATTATTAAATATGTAAAAGTAAATTATTTTTAAAAATTACATAACTTTCTTACATCACTAGGCTGACAATATACTAAAATTGTTGCAAAAAACCTGTGCAAAATGGCATTTGGAAGGAAGAAACCTTAACTATACAATTTGATATCCAATTATCTCCTTAAAACAATCCTCTCTTTTTGGCATCTTCTTCAAATGAAGAGAATTGAATACCATTACAACTAAATAAATCAGCAAAAGATTTTGGACTCCTAACATGGTTTAACAAAAGCCTCAAGTAATATCTCTCACCTTCATATGGGTTTGCTCTATTCATACGATCAATAATTTGTATTGTTTTCCTTGTTTTCCAATACTGCCCTTGTTTGTTCCATACAAAATGCTCTGGAAATTCTCTATAAAGATATTGCTTTTTCTGTTTATCATTCAAACAAAATGTAAGAAAAAGTCTTAGAGAATGGTGGAATGGAAGTGGATAGTGGCAGATGGAGGGAGAGCGAAGTGGGTGGGTTGCCTATAAGGTTGGGTTGAGGTAGGATAGGGTAGGATGGGGTAAGGTAGGGTGAGGGTGATTAGAGGTGGCGGAAGTACAGGTCCAATCTGTGTCTGAGTGCAAGTTCAATTTACATGGGGGTGCAAGTTTAGTCTATGGGAGAATTTACAAAATGTCAACAGATTCAACTTGCACCCTACACAGACTTGACTTGCACCCAACATAGAATAAACTTGCATCCCACACAGACTGAATTTGCACCCCTATACAGATTGAACGTGCACTCGGACACATATTGGATTTCCACTTTCGTCACCCCTAACCATCTCCATCCTACCCCATCCCATCGCATCCCACCCAACTCAATGCTATAGGCAACCCACCCATTTCCCACTCTCCTCTAAGAATTTTTCGTTCTCCTCAGACCCTCTCAGATACTCCTCCACCCTATTTGCCATGTTTAAACCATCTTCCCTCTACCCTTTCTATCCTCTTCTGCCACTTCAAATACCACCCTATCTATTTCTACTACTTTTCCATCTTTATTAATATCTTCATTTGCCACACCCCTTGTCACCAAGCCCAACACCATAATTCACCCAAATCCTAGCCACCGAAGATAGTGAAAATGAAAAAGAAAATGAAGAGATAAGAGATAGTAAAAGTGAAGGTAGGGTGCAAGTCCTGTGTAGGTAGACTGGTTTTATTAGAAATAAAAACATGGAGCGGTGAGGAGAGTGTGATTGGGGCAAAAAAGGGTGGGATGACTGTAGAGGGTTAGGGAGGGGTAGTCGATGACTGTGGAGATCGGGGCTGTGGTGGTCGGCGTTAGGAAGTGGAAGAGATGGTGTGGATGAAAGAGAAATAAAGAGATGAGAGAAAAAAATAAAGGTGAAGGACATGGTGCAAGTTTGTGGGGTTGGGGTACAAGTCTTTGTATAGGGTGCAACTTGTGTGTGTGAGTTGTAAGTCTTGTATAGGGTTTGGGTCAACTAGGATGTTGGGCTTGGTGACAAAGGAAAGGGGCGAATGAGGACGATGAATAAGTCTTGAGTGGGTTTCTTTTCCCTTCAAATCATAAGTTTTCCTGTTGGGTTTGTTGCTCTTTTTACCACCAGAACATGGTTTCTCCACCATACTCCATTGAAGGTTCTAACAACATCATTAGACTCTTTTTCTTTTTTTTTTCTTTTTTTTTTTTTGTTGGTGGGTATAATGGAGGCCAAAGCCCAGGACTACAGACGAGCACGCCCAGAAGAACTTCATTCCATCTTATTGCTAGCTAGAGCCAACTCCACACACAGAGGGGCTGTCATTAGAGTTTCAAGTCCATTGACCCTATTAATAGCAGTTTTTGCTGACATATCGGTATAACAATTGGCTTCTCTGCAAATAGAGTGCAGATCGCATTGCCAATCCCTCTTGAGCATTTCTCCAATTTCTTGGTAGAGATTGAAGTTAGGATCCATCTGGTTCTGGGTCTTGATAGCTTGGATTGCCTCCACCGAATCTAATTCAACAATAACATGACAATGCCCCTCATCATATCCCATTTGCATATCACACATAATGGCCCATAGCTATGCCACTATGGGTGAAGCTCTCTCTACGTAGTACTTGAATTGAAGCCACCAATCCAGTCCCCTATTTCTGATCGTAAGAGACCGTTAGCCCTAGCCTGATTAGAGTGCTTGTTTAGCACTCTATCAACATTGATTTTCATCCACCCAACTAAAGGAGGAGCCCAAGAAGTCATAATTGTGCTTCGGGATTTGGACTTGGTAAGATTATCATGAACATAAATATATTCATTAACTCTTCCTATAATGATTAGAATTGAGGCATGGGGTTCTTTGAAGTCTTCATCATACACTTGTTTATTCTACCAAAACCATATCTAATTGACAATAGCCATAAACCACAGTACCTAGTCCTCAGAGATTGATTTAGCCTAGGTGGGCTTTTGTAAGTTGACATCTATCCACCGATCCAATGGCATAGAGAAGAAGTGTGACCAATGAGAAGGGGGGGCTGATGTCTCACCAAATGCGTTGTGCTCTATAACAATCCCTCAAAGCATGGATGGTTGTTTCACAAGGATGATCACACAGAGTGCATGTTGCCTCCGAACTGAGATGTCTCCGAAGCTTCATCTCATTTGTTAGCAATCTGTCATGTCGAACCAGCCACAGAGTGTGCTTCCATCTATTGGGAGAGTGATGTCTCCATAAACTTTTCCACCAAGGTTGGATGGAAGTCGAATTTGGAGAAGGGTTTAGAACAGTCATACGTTTTGTGTAGTGTCGCCATATGTGCTGGTCCTTGTTATGTGTTTAAAAAGTGAGCATCATTGTCCTCATCATATCCAGCACATAATTTGGAAGCCACACAGAGAGTTGAGCCAAATTCCATCCCACGCCCTCAATCCAATAATCACACACCAACTTATGTAATTCTTCTACAAGAGGAGGATGAAAAGAAATTTGAATTAGGGGTTAATTCGCTATTCATAAGTTATTCCAAAACTATATAGATTGCCCATTACCTATTCGCCATTTTGCTCCATTCTTAATTTGCTGATCCCCCTTATGAATACTCCTCCAAGTCTGTGAAGAAGTTGTAAAGCATGGTTCCCATACCTGTTTCCCTTTTGCAAGATACTATTGCTGAAAGTGCATTAGGCCAAGGAGCTAATTCTTGTGTTAGCCATTAGCTTAATTTGATAGCAAACCAAGATTTATATCTTTCACATGTTGTAGCCCTAAGCCCCCTTCCTCTTTGGGTCAACAAACATTATCCCAAGCAACTAAGGACATCTTGCGATGTTGGTGATCACTACCCCATAGAAAACGGTTGTGTTGTTTATCAATGGCCAAACAAGCTGGGCTAGCCAACATAGTAGATTACATAGAATATGATGGGATGGCCATTGTAACAGATTCTATAAGCATGGCCCTTCCTGCTAATGACAATTTTCAAGCTTTCCAACCGGCTAACCAATCCCGGACCTGATCAATTCCCTTTGAAATCGAACAAAACTATACTTGTTATTGTTGATAGATCTTCTTTTGGCTAGAATGAAAGCATCAACAAGATTTCCACTTCTACTGAATACTCTTCTCAACCACAAATTGTAAGTTTGCACTTGTAGATTATCAATGAAGATTGAATAACACTTTGTTGATGAGCCTCTAGACATTACAAAATCCTTTGTTCATGACCTCATGATCTGTCGTCACTATTGTGAGAAGCAATAATGAGTTCTACAACAATCACTATTACTATTAACATATACAACAATCATTTAAGGGCGAATTACACTACTGGTATCTATAGTTTGAAACTTGTGTCACTTTGGTCCTTGAATTTTCAATTGTAACACCACTACAAGAAAAAGCACTTTTGGCGACTAAATTTTTAGTCGCCAAAAGTCCATTTTTAGTCGCCAAAAGTCGACTTTTTACTTTTCCCGACTAATTTTTTTAGTTGCTGGTTTTGTCGCGTATAGATGGTCGGCAGAGGTATTGGCGACTAAAACTTTTTTAGTCGCCAAAAAGCAGCTCTTTCGCGACCAACATTTTAGTCGCCAATAGTGATTTACACTTTTCAAAATCATACATTTAGCGACTAATCCTTTAGTCGCCAATGGTGCTTCCGTGAAAAAAAAACAAAAAAAAAAAATTACCAACTTTTTTGCTTTTTCTGAGATTTGAACCACAAACCAAGTACACCTTTACCAACACACTCCCTCCACTATGCCACCACAAGATCACATGAATATATATGCAATATATATTATTTATATAGTATATTGACCCGTATTAATTTAAAACTATATATATATGTAATTATTTTTATTCAATATTAATTTATGTAAAAAATAAATTAATTATTAAAAAAAAAGGAAGCCACTTTTGGCGACTAAAGTTTTTTTTAGTCGCCAAAAACCTTAGTTTTGACTACTACCAATAATTTAGTTGCTAAAAAAATTAATTTCCGTCTAAAAATAACCACTTTCGGCGACTGAACTGATTTTTAGTCGCCAAAACTGCCACTTTTGCCGACTAAACTCAATTTTGGTCGCCAATTGTCCACTTTTAACTACTAAAAATTTTTTAGTAGCCAAAAACCTTTACATTTGGCTACAACATTTTTTTTTATCGGTAAAACACCTACAATCGGCGACCAAACCATTTTTTAGTCACCAAAGCCTATACTTTTGGCTACTAATCTTTTTTAGTCGCCAAAAGCCTTCACCTTTGGCTACTAAAATTGTTTTAGTTGCTAAAACCCATGTAATCAGCGACTAATCTGATTTTTTGTCGCCAATAAGTACACATTTGGCTACTAAACTGTTTTAGTCGCCCAAAGTCTTACTTTTGGCTACTAATTCAATTTTAGTCGCCAATTGTTCTACTTTCAGCGATGAAATTTACATTTTTAGTCGCCAAAACTACTTTTTGTTGTAGTGCATATTTAACCTTAAATTTTGAACATTATTCCAAACAAGGATAATAGATCACTTCAGTTTGTTTTGTCGATGGAAATTGCTCACATGCAATCTGCCTGAGCACTTGCCAAGGGCGAAGTTGTGATTTTGCCTTATTTCCGATCCAAATAGACACTACCCTCTTTACTTCATGCATACATATGATCAGAAGGGAAAACTGGAAGGAAAAAAGGAAAATGAAAAGACTTAAAAAAAAATTAATAATAATAATTTCAGAAACTCAAGCACTTATTATTTTTATATAATTATTTTTGAAGAGTAAAAATATTTTTTAAAATCATAAAATATTTTTTTTTATATTTATTTTTATCAAATTAAATTTTATTTTTCTAAATTTCTTTCTTTCTTTTTTTTTAAAAAAAATAATCTCAAAAACTCAAGCCAAATATGACCTCTACTTTGATGTCATTATTAAACTAATTTAAATATTTTTTTCAAAAAAATCTAAAAATAATCTCAGAAACCCAAGTCAAATATGACAATAATTTTGATATCATTATTAAACCAATCCATTAAATTAAAAAAATTCAAAACTAAAAATTTTTCATATATTAAACATATTTATTACACAATCTAATAAGAATTCATTACATAATAGTCGTCCCAAAATATCAACAAAAATAACTACCCATTACATAGTCATCCTCCAAACACATATTTTAAAATATAAAAACAACTGTAAACATCCCTTACAACCCAAAAGCATTCAAAAAGATATTAGTGATCATTGATGTTTCTCATCACCCTGTCCAGCAACAGTTCTTTTCCTCTTACCAAAAGCAAAAGTTTTTTTCCTCTTCCCAGCAGCAAAAGTTGATCTTGGTTGGGATTCCATGGGTTGAGAACTTCGCTTCAACACTATTGGCCTTGATTTGTTTTCTTGAATTGTTCCTATATATATCAATGTCAATGTTCGTATATAATAATAATAATAATAATAATAATAAACATCAACAAAATTAAACTACACCAAACAAAAAATAGTTTTAAAAATTAACCCAGAATAATATAACAAATATCATATCACAAAAAAATGAATGAAAATAACAAAACTTCAAAAAAATAAAAATAAAAAATTACCATATTGCAGCGAGATGATGTCATTCGCAACTCTTTGGGTACCCATCTTCAAAACCAACGCTTGCTTGTAATTTTGTGAATATCTTAAATAGTTCCCACTTCAATTTCTTGTAACTTTGTGTTTAATGGTGAAAGCCCCTTTTTTTTTGGGGGGGGGGGCTATAAACAAGCCAGACGTGCCCTAATTCATGACAGAACAAAGGGTGGTATCTATTTGGGTGGAAAATAAGGCAAAACGACGACTTTGCCCTTGGAAAGTGCTCAGGTAGATTGCACGTGAGCAATTTCCATTCACAAAAACAAACGAAAGTTATCTATTGTCCTTGTCTGGAACAATGTTCAAAATTTAGGATCAAATGTATTATAATTGAAAAGTTAGGGATCAAAGTGATACAAGGTCCAAACTGTAGGAACCATTAGTATAATTTGCCCATCATTTAAATCTCTAATAGATGAGTTATAGTCTCATGAGAATTTTTAAAAATGATACCCACAAACATACAATTTTTCATTCACTCAAATGATCTATATCTCATTTACATGCACAAGGCTCAAGAATAAAGTCTTGAATTTTATCATTTTTAACAACAAATTTAACCATATATAGTTTAAAACACTAGAAACAAGAATAGATGATAGGAGTGATCATGGATCTATCCAACTCGCTCAACCCGATCGAACTGATCTAACCTGATTGATTTTAGGCAGGGGTATGCCTTTCGGCGGCGAATACAGATAAAATATTTCAAAATTCAAGGATATGGTTCGGATGGTGGATCAACTATATCCTATATCCGCATGAACTCAATCCGCTTGTAGATGAAGTTCAAAAAAAAAAAAATGCTAACAAGTAACAACATAGAGTGTGAAAATAAAAAATAATACCTTAAAAATATGTATGTGTGATGCCATGGCCTATTATAAACAAATAATATATTTTTTTTCAGATTACTAGTTATTAGAGATTGTAAAAATTATAAATTATAATTTTAAAAAATGCCTAAAATTTGTAAAATCCAAACCATCAAATCGATCACATCCGTCCACCAATCTGCATGGCCCACTCAATCTGCATCCGCCAAACCGATGGACGGATACAGATTGATTTTTTTCAATCTACCTAATTTTGAACGGATGACATTAAATTTACCACATTACCACCCCAT